CGAAATGGAGAAGATCTGGGGCAAGAAACGAGAACTGCTGCTTCGAGCATCGGATTGGCTGAAATTATGCCAACTTTGTCGCGATTGGTTGATTATTGAGAGCCTCGCTTGATTCGCTAAAATAGGTCGAGGGATCGCCATGCGATTGGCCCCACGACAGGTGCCCATGTATCTACCACACTATTTCATGATACCTACGGAAATCTTCCTAGCGAACGCATGGGGTGCATAGTGTGCGACCAAATATGCATGAAGATATAATTACGAAGATGAAACACGTATATCGGATTGCTCGCTTCGTCAAGCTCCTAGTCGTCGTACGAGGCTGCGCCTTGGCAAGGAGCAACCTCGTACAACTTCACTGCAAGGAGTCCTTGCAGTGCAGTCTCCAACCCAGCTTCACACTATTTTATAGACAATATAGGAATGTGATTGGACAAAAGTTTGTGTTTGGTAGCCAATCCACGAAGGGATGCCGTACCAACGCGCATATATTGCATGAAATAGATGCCTCGCATTGGTCCAAATGACGTATTTTAAAACTCGTTGGCCAATCCGGCACCGTTATCGGGCGACGCGATGGCCAATTGTATGCAAGTCATCTGGCAGCGGCAACATGGCACCGGCGACGACGCACCGGCCCAAGACAGGTCGCCCTCCGCACGCCGTCTGGGCCCACTTCATCAAGGGCGAGAAGCGCAACGGGTCCCATCACCACGTCTACTGCCGCTACTGCTCGGACGCCCAGGCGCAGGCTCTCGCAGCACCGGCCAACCCTGCGGCGGGTCCGTTGAGCATCGAGGCCATTCGCGGTGTGCCCACCAAGATGCTACGCCACCTCAGCATCTGCATCTACTGCCCTGCCTCGACGAGAATTCACATTCGCTCGATGGCCGACGAGCACGCGGCAGGTCCCAGCCGCAAACGCCGGCGCACGCCCGAGCCCGAGGCCATGGTGCCACCGCAGCCGCTGCTCGACCTCTTGCTCAGCGACGGCCCTGTGCGGCCCAGCGCACCGCCTGTCGCGAGCGAAAAGCGATCAGCGGCCATCGCGCTCCCTCCGGACGATGCACTGGTGCAGGTACTAGAAGCATCTACGGTTCGGTCGATGGCCGACAGTATCTAGGTCGCGCTCGGTGGGCACGTGTCGTGGGCGTGGGTTTGGAACCCCGACGTATCGAAGCTATTGACAGTCAATGTGCCCGACCCGGACGTGCTCTACGAACGTTGCTTGCGCCACCGAGCTGGCGATCCGCCGAGCATGCCTTTTGCGTCGCTCTCGGTCGCGTCCTGGACGTCGCTTTGCTCGCGCGAGTTTACCATTGCGTGCACGCTTCAGTACCTCCACAGCTGCACGACGATATCCATCGCATCGATCGCGCCGACGCTTGAGGCGTGCCTTGCGCACCTGACGGGCGTGCGTATTCCACGTCCCAAAATTCCCATTTTTGACACGTTGACTAGGTCGTGGCCTCCAGTCCGCCGCTCGTGGCCATCCTCGTCGACTCGGCACTGCTGCTCGAAGCGGCCATGGCTGCGCTGCCGCAGTGCACGGTTCTTTTTGTACTCGCGCGCTCCTTCGACTCGTCTCGGCAAGTACGTTCCTTACATCGAGCGGCCCGAGGCAACCCGTCGCCAAGAGCTGGCGGGCGATGGCGGCGCATGAGAGCGATGTCAGTGCTATGTGGTCGACGCTGGACGCCGCGCATGCCCGCCTCGAGGCACCCGGCGTCGTGTCGGGTCGAGACGCGCTGCTTGTCTATTTACACCTAACCCGCGCACAATCCTCGTGGCCGCTGCTGCCATCGATTCTCTCCAAGTGCGACGGCCGCCTATGGCTCCTTGCGTATGCGCTGCATACCGCCACCGACGTACACGATCCCTTTGGTATCGTGCAAGGCGCTGACGTGTCGCGTAGGTCGACCTTTTCGAGCACTGGCTTCACGTGGGCGCGGCGGTGCGCCACTACGCCCTGCAGTGGCACCTCGACGCCAACGCTGTCGTCACCCATGTGCTCGAGCTTCGGCGCGGCCAGTTTCCGTTTGATAGCGCGACAAAAGCGCTGTACGCCGAGGATGTGTGTTCCTACTACGCCTTTCTCTCCGAGTCGCACCCCGAGCTCCACGCGTTTTGCATCCGGTATCTCGGATCGTTCGTCTCGCCAGCACCATCCTCATAGCAATTCTATTAGGCTGTTTAGCATCGCGCCGGCGTGCGCGCGCTACGAGATGGTGCTGCCAGGGCTTTTTGACGCCGGCATTAGTCCGTTCCTCGCCCGTATTGACATTCCCGCGCAAGCGCAGTGCGCCATCGTCAAGTACAGCGAGCACTCGACCAAGGTAGCAGACACTTGCCATTCCTCGTCTTCGCAGACGACACATGTGTAGCGCCCGAGTGCATACGCGCCCCAAGTGCTCTCGGTGGATGATTGGCTGCAGCTGCGACCAGAGATCCAAGCCTTTGTTCAATCCGAAGTCGACGCGTTTGCGACGCTACCCATAACCAGCGCCAGCGTCGACTTGACGGTCTTCTCCAGCTGCGACGACGAGGCGTGATGAATGCAACGTCGTGAACCATTCCCGTACGCATTCTTGATAGAAATATGAACGACAAATATGCGCCGCATCACGGACATTCAAGGAGACCTAGCTATGGACATGCCGACGCTGCTGTAAAGCTCGGTGATTCCAGTCGGCCACCATCGGTAGGCTTGCAAAGGGTGAAATACGAGGAGCAGGATGCTACGATGCCTGATGCATTTGTCTCTCCATGGTGATGTTCAAAGTGGATCGGAAAGAACACCAGGCACGAAATATCGACCAATGCATCGGTAAAATTAGTGAAGAGCCTACTCCATGTGCCTTTACATTACCATGTCATTTATCGCGCACGTCAGCGAATACGTGGAATAAGATTTGAAAAGCTCGATTCATGCAGCATCACTGTGTAGAGGACACTTGGCTGTGCTTTGATAATGTAAAATCGTCCTAACCATCAGTGAAGAGGTTGATAATGCTAGGATAGTGCTAGATTTCGTTGCCAGTATGCCACTCCTTCGCACAGGTTGCTTAGGTTTATGTGCCTCGATTTAATCCAATTAAATCGCATAAAATACACGGCGTCGAGGTCGTGCTCTCTGCCCGGTTGGCCACTTTTTAGAGGTGTCGAACTAAAGGCTTATGGTACATGCCTAAGCTTTCTCAGTCGATTTGGCACTCCATACGCCTCCCCATGGTGCGTCGACTTCAACTTCGACGCGCCTCGGATCACCCAGCAACTCGACGCGCTGCGGAATTCTACTTTGACATGCAAAGCCATCCCATGCATCAGTGAAATGGTGAAGAGACTACGCTATGTGCCTTTACATTAGCATGTCATTTGTTGCGCAAGTCGACGAATACGCGGAATAAGATTTCGAAAGCTCGATTCATGCAGCATCACTGTGTAGAGGACACTTGGCCGTGCTTTAATAATGTAAAATCGTCCTAACCATCAGCGAAAAGGTTGTTGATGCTACGATTGCACCAAGTTTGCTATTTAGCATGCAGCTCCGTTGCTTGGTATGGCGTAGATGTTGCCGACTCGATTTAATGCAATAAAATCGCACAAAATACACCTGGGCCTGGTCGCCCACGCCCCCAAGAAATTTTGGAGCTGTTCTATCGGGAAAAGATCGGCGGTCCGTGCCACAACTTTGTCTGTCGATATGGTACGTCATACGCCTCCCCATGATGCGTTGCTTCACCTTCAACGCGTCGCAGAGTCGCCCAACGAGTACGCTCGTGGTTACGTCTTGCGTGGGAAGGCAAGCTTGTCCAATGTTGCGGTAGCGAGTTCGGTGAAGGACTGCACTACACGTGCCTTTAATAACTTGTGCCGAGCTCAAAGACCGAGTAGAGTGTGCCTCCGAGCGAGACGAGATTGCTGTCGTATTTTTCTCTAGTGAGAAACGCCGAAGGCGGCAAACATACGCCTGACACAGACTGCGCCTGACATGCTACCCATGAGAGCCATGCAAGAGCTTGCGACGAGAACGCCTTGAATCGCTTTGTCTTGGTCCGAAACAAAGCAGTCGGGGAGGTAGCCGTAGATCGATAGAAAAAAGCTCTCGTTGCTATTGTAAGGTCGCGCTGGAGGCTTAGAGAGCAGAGTCTAATATAAGGCAAATCCAAAAGTAAATTACAAGAGCTCGCGCTTCTCGCGAGCTCGCTTAGTCCGCCGGCGATCGGCCGCCGCGCTAGCAGCCAATCGTGGTGCTAGTACACTGTAGCGATCTTGCGCGGCTCAGTCCGTGGCTTACCACGGATACGTGATGCCATCTTGTCACCAGATGGCCAGTCCGACGACCGACGGTTACGGCGGTCAGTCGTTACAGCTACCGGTATCAAGTCTCGTCAGATGCGGGCCATAGACGATGACCGCTACCAGCGTCGGCTCGACTTCGGAAAAACAGCGCTTGTCACCGCTACGGTACGCTTGAGCCGGTGCGAGACGAGGTAGATTGCCACATACGCGATCCAGATCTAAGAACCCAATGGCACATCAATAAGCGATGATAAGAACTTGGTTGTACTGACCTGGGACTGTAGAAGCCAATGCCCACGGGTGCTGTACACCTGGACGCCGAGTCTGGACGTCGTTTTATTGCGCTGGAGAGTGCGGTTGTCAAGGCTTGGTTCTTGTTGGTTGATTGATTTGGCTGTTACCGATGCCGCTAAACGATTGCAGCGCTTTCTGATGGCTCGATAAACTTGTCTTCTTTTCGTTGGTTGATCTCGTTTTCTTTGGTGGTTGCGATCGGTCTTAATGATGCGGTCTGGTGCTTGGTTGTCACTGATGTCGCTGGCTAGTGATGGGCCCTCGTCCCTCGATTTCTCAAGGTGTTAACTCTGCATGCATCTCGTTCTGGAGATGGTGCTGTGCATGTCAATGAGCTACTTGACCGCGTGGGAGAGTTGGCTTTGGCGCTGCGGGGCAACGAGGCTGAACATAGAGCTGCTGGACTGCATAATGCTTGACTAATTATGGTTTCTTCTGGTTTAGGTCGTTGTGACGAGGTCGTCCTCGCACCGTGTGACGTCCTCTGCGACGTAGATATGATGTGGCTGGAAACGCCGGTTTGCGGAGCTTCTGCCTGCCCCGACCGCCGCGGACGCAGCCGTTCGCCAGTGGTTTCACTTGCTGGGCGGTTTGAAATAACACAAAGTCCATCTTGTTTGCGGGCACTTGCAAGCTCTGGGCTCTGTCGATGTCAAAGGTCGCGCCGTTTCTACAGGACTGCCGCGTCTATTTCAAACGGCAAAACGATGCGCAGCACCAAGGTGACGCCAGGCCCGTGCCGCGCCTCGGTGCTGCATTCGCACTACAGCATCAAGCACCACCGTGGCCTAGCTGTCACTAGCCTTCTTCTCTCTGCGTCCCTCGTCGCCATGGTATCGCGGGATGGGCGCCCAGAAACATTCTCATGCTTGTCTCCTCCATGTAGCCCTTTCAAGCCTACATCTCAGAAACTCTGCCTTGGGCAACGGCACTGCCCGTGGCCCACGACCTAAGTAACCTCACGGTCTTCAACCAAACGGCTCTCGCCACGCACCAAGCGCTCTACTCGCACTCGACGCTTCCTGATGGCGCGACGTACGTTTTCGACATCGCGCGCAACGCCCACGTGTGTCGGCACGTCTTGTCAAGTAGTAGCCGCAGCCCCTTGAGCCTTCCGGGGGTCCTTTTCTACGGCCGCGCGATGGTCGACCTGTGGCAGTCGTTCGCCAACGACTCGGCCAGTGGTACATGGCATCAGCGGGGCACGTGTACGCTTGTGCGGTTCATCACGGTGCCACTATCGCACCAATGCATCTGGCTCTCGATAGACAACCCTCTCGACAGCGCCGAGTATACGCTGACGTATGTGCTGACACAATACCCTTACCCGGCGCTCATCTGGTTCAAGTTTTTGTGGCGTATTGGCTCGACGGTGCTGCTGCTCACATTGCTCTGGCGACGCTATTTTAGCCCGCTCATGGGCTTGGCGCACGACCTCGCTGTGCGTGGCCACCGCAACGACTTGATGCCGGAGCATACGTGGCGCTACGAGCTGATTGCGGGCGACCCCACCGCCCCGTTACTCGTCGATCCGTTTGTGGTCGGCGCCTTTTTTGTTGATTTTACGCTCAGTCCGCACATGGTGGCGGTCGCCATGCTCCGATTGCTTCAAGTAAGAGACGTTGGCGCGTTGTGCAAGGCGGTCCTCTATCTCTTCCGCATGGTAATACACACCTTGTGCTGCCATTTGCGATTTTGAAAATGATTTTCTTGTAGATTTGGTTTGCCTGCTTTTCGCTTGTCGCGGTCAACAAGCTGCTCAAGCGCTGCCGACTCGAGCACGTCTTTACTGAAGTGGACCCGACGTGGCTCGGCCTCGCGGTGCTGGTGCTTGGCCCGTCGTTGTGGGTCATCAACGTGGCCGTGCCGTGCTTCTTGGATGCCTATCGCTACCTTCTCGTGTGCTTCTATATGACCAACGGCCTTGTTCAAATTGAAGTCGCCGTCGCGGGCGCGGTCTATATTCTGATCATTGCCATGATCCCGCTCTGCTTTGGCCTGCGTCCAACACCATTCTGTCGGCGCCGACGCGCGCGGCGTGTACGCTACAGCAGTTTTTTGTACAACTCGGCAAAAAATCGCCTTCTGTTTTCGCTCGTGCCGGCGCTGCGCGGAGAAGAGAACAAGAATTTCGGTGGTTCCATCTACCTGCTCTTTCGACGCTGCGCCCGCGCCAAGGCTTTTCCGGTCGTCAACACGCGGGGGGCCGACTGCTATCTTCTCTGCTACTGCGACAACCAAGTACACACCAGGATCCGTCTCAGTCTTCTGGCGCATCTTGACCTTCAGAGCAGCGACAGTATTGTCGAGATTGTGACAGGTGCGAGTGCCTACTGCTTCAACCACCTTGTGATCCCCGACCACAACGCGGCATCGATCAAAAGACATTCCGACCGCAGCTCCTGTGCCCCCTTCACGCGTCGCCCTGGTGCATGTGACTGCTACATCGAGTGTCAACATCTCGTGAGACTCGTCGCTACACGATCGATCGATCTTGTAACTTTCTAATCTCCTCATCTTCACCTCCTATTCCCCACCTACACCAGAAAGGTCAACTACACCCTGCCCCAAGAAAACACGAGGTTCACTTGAGGATTCCTTTAAATATACATTTTTGTTCTCGTCCACAACGAGACGGGTAATAAGGAATGTCAATACTAGCCGTGTTTTGTTGGACATGAAAATTTTCTGCGTGGTAAGACAAGTGGTGGTGGGAACCAAAGAAAAATGTGAGAACGTTCCTGGTACGCGTACTATCTCGTGCTTTTTGACGATGCCATCTCCATCGATCACTAGACAAAATATGTACTAGATGTGTCAATTATTTTGGAACCGAGAAGCGCTTCAGAAGAATCCAGTTATATGCACCAAACGGACGGCAGGGACGGTTTGTGGAGCTGAAACGAGGTCACGCCTTCTTTGCTCGTCTCGACCAGCTCGTTAAAGTGGTACGACGTGGGCGTCGTGGCGTTGGAAATCGTGTTCCCGCGTGTGTCGAGGGAGCTGAGGAAACTCAGGCGCATCTTCTCGCGCAGCTCGCCGCGGTGGTAACACAGCACAAAGCAGTCGGCGCTCCGAAGGCTGAACGTCGGGCAGTTCTTGAAGCTTGCGCTGGCATGGTACGCTGCGTATACGGTGCCGCCGCTCGTAATCATGTGAATGTTGTTGGTGCGAAAGGGACGCAGAAGCGCGAGAAGGATCTGATTCTTCCAGTTGTTGTAGCGGTGGCTGCTGTACGCATGTTTGCGGCGGCGTAGACACCAAAAGCATCCTAGTCCGCACGCATGAAAACCATGAAAAATGCACTTGCCTTGTACCCCAGCACTGGAAACGCGGTGCGAGGAAACCATACACCACTGGAAGCACCGCGATAAGAACGGTGTAGGCGGTGCAGCCGACAACGAGCTCGTTCTGCTCCGAGGTGTTTTGTTGCGGCACAAGGCACGTAAACATCCACTGGTACAAGGTCACGAGGAAGCCGACGTTGCCGCTGAGCCACGAGATGAGTGGGCCATAGAATGCGATCGCGATCGCCACCAATGTCGGGTCAACCTCGGCAAACGCATGCTCCTTCTTCCACTTCTTCAAACAATACGCCGTGACGCAGAGGCCACAGTAGGCAAACCACACCTATGCAATAATTCAATGCAGAAAATGTCTACAATATGGGTACCGTCCGCGAGAGGTAGACAAACGTCACAAACATCACGTAGAGGTCGCCGTTCTGGACGCGCGCAAGACCGCAATGCCAACGTTGCCCGTGCTCAGCCACATGTCGATCAAAAACGCGGTGGCGACCCACGGATCCCGGAGGATGATGGCGGTCGGATCGCCCAGCACGAGCTCGTAGCGCCACTCGACCGCGCTCACATCGGCCTTGTGGCCACTGGTGCGCAAGAGACGTTCCAGGTCCACGCAATGCATGTAGTAGTGCGTCCACATGCGATAGAGCACAAAAGCCGTGTTGCCGAGGCGGTAGACAAATTTGAACCAGAGGTAGGCATCGAAGCGCGTCGCACTGTACGAGTAGGTGAGTGTGAAGAGTCCGTCGGAGGCGTTGCGTTCTTGGATCGCATCGCCGGCCTCGAGCCAGAGACACGACCGGCCAATCTCAATGTTGCAAAAAAGATCATAAAAACACGAGCCGTTGTAGTGCCATGCCGCAGCCGAGACATTCGTCGCGCTCGCGAGGCTACAGACGAGGTCGATCTGGGCGTCTGTGTAGTAGATGACGCCGGGAAGCCCGAGGAGAAACGACTGCAAGCACGACGCCCTATGGATCGGCGCTGGCAGCGCAATGGCTTTTCGAAGCACTTGGACGTCGTTGATGGCATCTTCAAAGTACGACGTGCCGGGCACGAGCGTGCGGGCGTTGTACAAGCGCTGGTTTTGCGCCAGAAAATCCGAGTTGAACGCCGAGTAATTGGCATACGACGTGTTGAGGAGCGGCGGCGCGGACCACGGAACATACTCGGAGAGGTACGCCTTCATCGGCTACATCCATAGTACAGACTTTGTAACGTGGCGACGAGATAGCTGTGGTACCATGGAGGCGATGTTGAAGAGCATGGCGACGCTGATAACCAGCGCGATGCGGTTGCGACGCAAGCTGAACCTGTGCACGTCGGCCCAGGCGGGCGCGCTCACGTCTGCGACCTTGGCCATTTTTGCACTTTATACAAACGAATGCTATCTTGAGGGGGCGTTGCGCTGTTATTTCAAGCGTGAAACCACGCTATGAGGACGTGGAAAGAGTGCTGCTTCTGGTCAACAGGATCCTGAAGTCTATCGCTGCGTCACAGCCAGATACCCGGACCGTGTGATCGACCTGGTTACCACCATGAACGACTTGTGATGGCGAACTGCGCACCAACGCGGCTTTCGGCTCGACAGAAAATGCATTTTAGACGCCAGGAATGTACATGGGTAGCGTATTCGGATCGAGAAGCGCGACGCGTTGCAGACACACGGACGGGCATCGGGACCGAGCAAGTGCCAACTGGACCGAACCGGCGACGCCCGCAGCACGTTGCATAATGACACAAAACCGGGGCGTCGTTGTTGTTGAAGAGATAGACGTTTCGTCGCGTCAATCAACACAGCAGTGCTGGCTGTAAGCTCAATGCAGGTAGATTGTCGCATACTTGCACGAAAGTATTAGCATCGTGCGCGGGGATGCCGGGACAAGCGTCAACGATCGCCTCGGTCAGCGCAGTCCAAAGCTCCTTGTTCTGCGCCATGGCCATGAGGTCCGTGAGATCTTTGACATTACTGAGGCGCTTCTCGAAAGACGGGACGGTGACCAGGTCGGCGTCGAGCACACGTGGCAGCGTCGTCATCGATACTCACGCATCGCGAGGTTGGCCGGGATGTTGGGCGCGCTGCGACGGATGCGACCTTCTTGACGAGAGTGATATGGGATTTGCGCAAAAGTGATCCTGGCGATGGGCTTTTGAGTCAAAAGCCCAGGCTTGCCGATCTGGATGCTAGGCGTGTGGATAACACAGGCCGCAATGATGTACTTGCTTTCCTCGCTAAGCAACTCCCTAGCGATATTCCTCATTCAAAGCAATGCGATGGCCCTGCGCTAAGGCCTCTCATCTGTAACTCTTGCGACATGAAAAAGCCTCGCGGTGATGTCGACACCCTAAACTTAGCCTTTTTGATGTTTCGCGCCAAGGTGGCGGCGAGCCCGACGCTTGGCATCCTCAAACTCGCAACACGACGGCGCTATACGCTTCGGCATGACCCGTGCCTCTTCGTCACGAGCCTCTTCATCTCGGTCTCGATGATCATCATGGTACACACGACATTTCCGTATTCCTATCTATGACCGTAATGTACTTAGCCGCTCGAAGCGTACGTCTCTGAGATGCTGCCGTGGACCTCCCTCGCGCCGTTCAACCCGCCGTTTGCGACCTTTGCCGAGTTCAATGCCACGACACTAGCGACCGTACAAGCGCTCTACAATCGAGATACGCTGCCTGCCAGTGGGCGCTCGCTATGTCGCCAACCCGGAGCGCAACAGCTACGTGCTTCGTCGCCTCGTTTGCCCTCTCAATGATTCGTCCATGACTGACGGCTCGACACAATGCTTGGCGTCCTTTCTGGTGGGATTACCCGGTGTGCTCTTCTATGGCCCCGCGATGAACGATTTACTGAGTACGTTTGCAGCGTCGGGGGACGCGACGACCTCCGGCACGTGCTTGACGGTGACCTTTCTCTCGCTCCCAATCGCCAACGAGTGCTTGTGGCTTCAGCGCGGAAACGACTTGGCCATGACGAATCAAAGCGAGGATTTTACCTTGACGTTTGCGCTGACGCAGTACCCGTACCCGTGGCTGCTCTGGCTCAAATTTGTGACGCGCGTCGTCTCCACGAGTGCCATTTTGCACTGCCTTTGGTTCAAGTATTACCGCCACTACTTTTCGGTTGCTCGCTTTCTATGCCGACAATTGTCCTTGTCGGCGGTGTTTACATTGTGCTCGTGGCCTGGCTCCCGCTCTCGTACGGATTTGTCGCCGGGTATCTCCGTTCTGGTACGCTATTTTTCATCCTTTTCGAGCCTTTTTCATGCATTTTTCAAACGTTTTTCGTGCATATATCGCGCTTCTTGCATGCTTTTCGGTACATTATGTGTGAATGTTGCGTGACTGTTTTGGGTTCGCCGAGGCATTCTGATAAACTCTAATACGATAGGCAAGCCCCGGCACGGCGCGCTGACCAATTTTACCAAGTACGCGAGCTTCCAGTACAACTCACTCAAGAACTGAGCGCTCTTTACTGTTTCACATCCGGTCCGCGGAAGCGACGCCATTTCGGGCACGTCGTATGGCGGCCTCATGTATGCACTATTCGATTGGAACCCGCGGTACAAAGCGGCGCCAACCATGAACCTCCGCGGCGCCGACTGCTTCCTCCTCTGCTACTGCAACGACCACCTCGCGTCCAGAATTCGACTCAGCCTCCTGCACGCGCTCGACTGCAATCTCAGTGACCCGCAACTCGCAATCCGCATCAACCCAAGGCCCTCACTGTACCCTGCGAACGCACTTGAGATCACGCGACTCGCGTCCGAGAAAGGGTCGTTGGACGAGGCATTGCAAATCGTACTCTCTCTACCGCGCAAGCCGTCACTGTGGTGCATCTAGTCGAGTGTGCGCACATGCCACGTAATGCCAAATTGATAAACGCGGCGGTTGTGGCTTGGCGCCATCTTCCACTGCATTGAGATTCTCAAAACGGCAATGCAGTGCAGATGAGCCCTGAAATGACTACAACTTTGCCGCCGCGACAGGTGACGGCCTAAACGATGCAGCCTTCTATCGTCTTGCCACCTGGTCAAAAGCAAATAGCTTTAGGGTTCTTCACATGACCCACCGAGGCTGCCAACCTCCTTCCCATTGCATTTCTCGGGTCGTCACCCATATTTCTGTCTTGTACTATGTGTCCACTCACCACGGAACGCTTTAGTCGTGTGCTGTTTATAGATCACGGTACGAAGCGTCTTTCTTTGAATGGGCTGCATCGACACCCGCGTCGGGCCAGAGGCGACAGTGGTGCGCTTCAGCGTACGGCGGAACCGCCCGGCCATGCTTGTGAGTCTCATCATGCTGCTCAATATACTCTCCATGGTACAAGTACACTCCATGCGCACCGTCCAGGCTTGACAGCGCTGTAGCCGATGAAAGCGTACCTGTCCGAGTTTCTTCCGTGGCAAACCGTCCCGGCTCTACCCGATGCGTTTGCCAACTATTCGATCTTTTCGAGTGCAACGCTCGCGTACCAGCAGATGCGCTACACCCCACTGACGCTGCCCAATGGCTCCACGTACTTTGATGATGCTGCCATGGACGTCCAAGTCCTCCGTGCGACGCTCAACTTGACCAATCATGCGCCAATGCCGTCTCGCGCCGACTGCTTGGCCTCGTTCGTACTGGGTCTGCCGGGCTTGATTTACTACACGCCGGTGCAACTCGACCTCGTCTGTGCCCTCGCCGCGGACGCTGACGTCAACGCGTCGACCTGGGACAAGGTTGGTGCGTGCTACATTGACAAGTTTTGTGCCATCGTCATTGGCCACGCGTGCGTGTGGCTCAACGCCGGCGATGCGGTCCACGGCGGCCAGCTCTCGCCACACGTGGTGACGATTACCTACACGTTTACAGGCACGCGCTTTCGCCAATGGCTGTGGTGGAAGCTCGGTTTCCGCTGCGCATTGACCCTCTTTGTCGGATGGCGTCTCTGGAAGCAGTACTACGCACACTGTCAACGCCTCCAAGCGCGCTTGACCGCGTGCGGCCACAGCGCCGATTTGAGTCCGAGCGAGTGGCGCTACGAGCTCGTGTTGGGCGACCCGACCGCCATCATCCTCATGGACCCAAGCGTTGCGTGCGCATTTGTGGTCGACATTTGGATCAGCACCAGCTCGGTCGGCATTGCGGTCTTGCGCGCGTCCCAGAACGGCGACCTCTACGTCATGTTTGTGACCTTTGTCTACCTCTCGCGGACGGTACAAATATTGTGTGAGAACATTGAAGACATTTTCTGCATTGAAGTATTGTGTAGGTGTGGTTTGCCTACTGCGCGCTCTGCGTCACATCGTATGGCTTGAAGAAGTGGAAGAAGGAACATGCGTTTACCGAGGTTGACCCGACGCTTGTGGCCGTCGGTGTCGCCATCTATGGCCCCTCGTCTCGTGGCTCAGCGGCAACGTCGGCTTCCTCGCGCAGTTGTACCAATGGACGTTTACGCTGCTCGTGCCCCGCCCTTGCTCGGCCAAGAGAACGAGCTCGGGCCGGGCTGTGCCATGTACACGCTACTCATTGCGTGCCTCCCACTTTGCTACGGCTTTGCCGTCCCGGCGCTGCGCCACCGTATACGACGCCATGCGATGTCATGTCTCATCTCGCGACTAGGGTTACGCAAGCATCAAGGCGAGGCGCCGAATTATGCGAGCCCGTTCTACAACAGCACCAAAAACCGGACTATTTTCGGCATGTTGGCGCCGTTCCGAGCCACAGCCGACGTGCATCCGATCGAAGCGACGACCCCGCGCGTTCTCGAGCGTGGAGGGGCCATCTACTCGCTCTTTTGCGACCAATTCGCGGTACAAAACTGCCCGACCATCAGCCTTCGAAGCGCCGACTGCTTCCTCCTCTGCTACCACAACGCAACGCTCGTGTCCAAGATACGCCTGAGTCTTCTCTGCAGCCTCGACTGCAACGCTGCGACACCAGAGCTCGCAGTCGAGAACGCCGGGGGCAAAGCCACTTCCATTGCCTACGAGATCACCCTTGATTCGAGTGGCCGACCTCGTATGTGTCAGCCCGCAGAAGCCCCCCCCTGGTGCATCTAAGTGGCCGACGATGTACGATAGTTGACACGACTGGTGCTAAAATTAGTGCTCTCATGCTATGTTTGTAAAGCGATCACTCATTTGCCGAGATGACGTGGCATGTTGGCTGACATGTAATCGTTATTGACAACGCCGGCATACAAGATCCTGTCTTGTCATGGCAGGGGTGTCGTCTGAAGACAGGCAGTCGAGTGCCTTGCGAAGAAGTCGGCCAGTGCAGTCAAGTGCACCAAATCTGCACATCTCGGGCAGTATCCTCATGTCGCAAGTCTTGAATAGAAAAGTCGTGGAAAACACTATTTATATTAATCAACTGGAATGCCCAAGGTCGTGGCTGTGGCCGGCCCCGCGCGCGAGTTTCGCGTGCACCGAAATCGCGGCGCATGGCTCCTTTGTGTTGTGATGCTGGCCAATCTCATCTCGATCGTACGTCTTCCTGTCTGTACAACGCAATTTAGGATGGTATGATGGTGTAGCCCGCACGCGCGTACCTTTCCGAGTCGTTTCCAGGCCTCGACCCGACCATCGATGCGCCCGTCTTTGCTTCGTTTGCGGCGCTGGAAAATGCAACGCTCACTGCCTACATGACCACGTACATCGACGTCTCTGCGCTTGGTTACCAGTACGACGACACCAACAGCATCTACGTTCTGCGTCGCACACTCAACATGTCGACAACGTCAACTACACTGCGCTGCTTTCAAGAGTTTGCCTTGGGTCTCCCCGGGCTCATCTATTACACCGCCGCCCAACTGAACTTTCTCTGTGCCTTCCTCGCCAGCGACACTCGGCTGTCGTACGTGAACCGCGGCTCGTGCCACGTCGATCGAAGCTGCGCTCTGGACATTGGCCACTCGTGCATTTGGCTCTCGCAGAGAAAAGGGGATCATCCCGACGTCTACATTCTCTCGTACGCGTACACTGCAGTCCGCTGGAACGATTGGCTCTGGATCAAGCTTTTCTACCGCATTGCCATCACGGGCCTCGTGTCCCAGCGTCTCTACAGCGGCTACTGGAGGCATGTGCGCGACCTCGAGATAGTCTTGCGCCAACATGGCCACTGCCCCGGCTTGGACGCACACAAGTGGCGGTACGAACTCGTGCTGGGGGACCCCACTGCGATCGTGCTCATGGACAGTTGGGTGGCTTTTGCTCTCGTCGTCGATACATGGCTGAGCACGAATACGATTGGTGTCGCAATCCTACTCGCCACCCAGGTAGACGACCTCTGGGCTATGTTTCTGAGCTTGGTGTACCTCTCCCGCACGGTACGACGATTTCTGTTCCTGGTTCGTCGATGGACAATATGACAATATTATCTTGAACAGGTTTGGTTTGCCTACTTTGGCCTCTGCGCAACCGCGCATACCTTGAAGAAATGGCGATTCGAGCATGCGTTCAGCGAGGTCGACCCCACGCTCGTCGCTGTCGCCGTCGCCATTTACGGTCCACTGCTTTCTCAACTGAGCGCGCATATGGAGGGGCTCGTGCGCTTGTACCACTGGCTCTTTGCCCTCTGTGTACCAGAGAACGCCGAAGCGCATGAGAACGAGCTCGGACCTGGCTGTGCCATGTTCACCCTCATGATTGGCAGCCTCCCGCTGCTGTATGGCTTTGCCCACCCGCGCTGGGCCCGCCGTACGTCTTTTGATTTGAGGCGACCGTACGTAAATAGTTGTAGGAATGCACGCGTGGAAGCGCAAGGTAGCGCCCGCTGTGCTACAGGATTATGCAAGTCCGCTCTACAACGGCTTAAAAAACCGCGTTTTTGTGCGCTTCCTATCGACGCTGCACACGCCGACACTGCGCGCAGAGGGCGGCTCCGTGTACGCTCTCTTTGCGACCAATCCGAGATACAAGAACTGCCCGACCATCAGCCTTCGAAGCGCCGACTGCTTTCTCCTCTGCTACCACAACGAGGCGCTCGTGACGAAGATACGCTTGAGCCTCCTCGATAACCTCGACCGCAACCTTGCAGACCCAGCTTTGGCTGTTCGCATTGCCTCTGTTGTCGCCACATCCAACATGAATGAGCTCGTACTCCACCCAAGTCAGCCACCGACGCTGCGACGTCCTCGGATACCGTCGCCGTGGTGCATTTAGTGACACACTGTCGTATTTTCTGATAAAACTGTCTTTGTTCAATGGGCATGGCAGGATCGAATCGAATTCGACTTGTCATTACACAAACTTTTGCAAGCTTTCATAACATGCAATGGACAGCACCATCGTCATTGTATCTGTTCCTCGACGTATGGCGCGTCGCATCGCTCTCATTCACACCTCCAGATGCCACGTCATACACATGTCATATCTATCAATAGATTTGCCAGAAAGGACAACATGACCAAGGTGGCGCCGACGCCAGCAGGTCCAGCCGTGTCGCTGGTCCACACGCGTTTTCAAGTGCGCTGGACGCGATCGTCGGTCGTTGTGAGCTTCCTAATGCTTCTCAACCTCGTCTCGATGGTACCTTCTCGCTACTGACTGCATCCACACATCACATTTGACGTAGCCGATGAAGGCCTACTTGACCGAACAGCTGCCGTGGCAGGGCGACAATACGCCATACCCTGTCTACGACTCGTACGCTGCCTTTAGCGCATCGTATTTGGCCGAGAACCAAGCGCGCTTCAACCGGTCCACGCTGCTACACCAGCGGTCCTACTTTGTCGACGACGCGTCACGCACAGATGTCATCCGCGTCGCTCTCGACATGCGCCGACGAACGCACAACAACTGCATTGAGTTTCTCCTTGGTCTACCCGGCCTCATCTTTTATGGCGGCCACATGCGCGACCTTCTCTGCAACTTTGCCGCATCACCCCGCGGTCACAATGTGACCGACGACCTGCGCTGGCATCGACGCGGTGTGTGTCAGCACGGCACATTTGTCGGTGCCACCGTCGGCCAACAGTGCATTTGGCTCACGACCGGCGACGACCTCACCGCAGATGACACACTTGGCGTCTTTACCCTGACGTTTATCTTTCAACTGCCCCGGTTTTATGTGTGGCTTTGGGTCAAATTCGGCTACCGCTGCCTCATTAGCCTCTACGTGGTCGTCCAAATGTGGCGCGAATATTACCGCCACTGCGCGTCCCTCCACACGGTCGTGCAGCGCTTGGGCCATACCGTACCGACGCCCGCATCCACGACCTGGCAGTACGACCTCGTGATGGGCGACCCGACAGCGCTCATCCTTCTGGATCCGATCGTCTCGTTGGCCTTTACGCTCGACGTGTGGCTCAGTATGGAGTACATGGGCATTGCCATGGTGCGTGCGACGCAAATCGTCGATCTGTACACGCTCTTTCTCGCGTTCACGTACTTTTCCCGCACGGTATGGATGCAAGTCGTCCATATTGAAACCTGCCAGTAGGTCTGGTTTGCCTATTTGGCACTGAGCGTCACGTCCAAGGTGCTCAAACGCTATGAAAAAGAGCACCACTTTGCCGGCGTCGACCCCACCGTTGTCGCGATTAGCGTCGCCGTGTACGTCATCCCAGTCGACTACCTTCAAGCCAACACCCGCATCGTGGATGCCTACTACTGGCTCTTCCGCATCCCGAGCCCGCGCGATACGCAAGACGAGCAAGTCGACGTGCTCTTTGGCTGCGTGCTTTTAACGATCTCGATTGCCTTCGTTCCTGTGCTGTATGGGATTGCCCGATCTCGCTGCCGTAGAATCGAGATCTCGTTGTGTCTCCTGAGTCTTACGAGTAGGGTCCACGCCGTCGTCATCGAGCCGCCGTGCCGCGTACAGTAGCCAAACGTACAACAGCGTGAAGGCGCGGCTCGTGCTGTACATCGTACGCTGCTTTCTACCGCCTCAACACGAAGCGCTCGCCGTTGGTGGCACCTTGTATGCCGTGTTTGACGCCAACCCGCGCTACAAGAGGTTTCCGACAATCAGTCTTCGGTCAGTCGACTGTTTCCTACTGTGCAAGAGCCACGGAGTGCCCAAACAAGCCATTCGTCTCAGTCTTTTGCGGAGCTTGGACTGCCACTTGATGAATCCGCACCTCGCGATCATAGACGACCGCACCAAGAGCGCTTCAAATGTCTTCGACCGGCTCGAGCTCACCGGCGCGACGATTTCCATACACCGGGGCATGGCGCGCACCACGTGGTGCATGTAACATACCGACCTAAGAACGTATGGCGATAAATAATCGAGTCTCGTCGTGAGCTCGCCCATAATTTTGATTTCTTCCGTACTAGAAACACACTATTAGCTTTAGGACCTAGTATATCATGGCTCACAGCGACAGAATCAAAGAGGGCGAAACATCAAACGCTGTTGCACCGCGAATGAAGCACAGATGTCACTGCCCATCCAAGGACGCTAGTTCTAGAGTGTAGCTTCCACGCCCTTGATATGCAACAGGATTTTAGTACTTTGGACATAGCTCTCGTCCTTCAACAGTAGCATTCTGAAATGCCACGCTCGGCAAGTGCCACAAGGAACACACGGAAGAAGCAAGATGAAAACGGCATATGCCGGTAATCCGTAAAATAACGAGAGGACTCATTTCAACAACAACAGTAGCATTCTGCGTGCAGAACGCCCACACGTTGTTGTCCCGCGCGCGCCACCAACCTTTTGAAACCGTCATGCGCCGTGGTGCTGCCACGTCATCCACCTAATGTTAGATGCAACCGCTTCACTCGCTCGATGTCGCAGGTCGCACCAATGCTATGGCACCTACCCTCGTCCTCTGGGTTGGATGCAAAGCGGCCTCTCGTCAACTCCGTGCGCTGGAACAAGATCTCGGTGCTTCTCAGTGGCGTCATGCTGCTCAACATCGCCTCCATGGTACACTTTATTTGTTGCCGAGATGGGCTCACGCAGCGGTGTAGCCGCTGAAAGCATACTTGTCCGAGCAAGTCCCGTGGCATGCGAGCGACGCGCCCGAGCCAGCATTTGCCAATTTTTCGGCCTTCAACCGTTGGTACCTCGCAATGAACCAAGCGCACTTCAACCGACAGACACTGGACCATGCATCGTCCTACTACGTGGACGACGTTACACGCACGGACGTCATTCGCGTGGCCCTGGATATGCGCGATGCGCTGCCCGAGGCGAACTGCATCTTGTTCTTGCTCGGCTTGCCGGGGCTGATTTTCTATGGCGGTGACTTTTGGAATGTCCTCTGTTCATTCGCAGCCACCGATCACCGGAATGCAACTCTTGGCGATGCCTTGCGCTGGGACAAGGTCGGTGCGTGTCAATACGGCAAGTTTGCCTCCGTGCTCGTCGGCCGGCAGTGCATCTGGCTCACCATTGGCAACGATTTAACGGGCACCGACGCGCTTGGTGTCTACACGCTCACCTTCACCTTTCAGCTCGGGCGCTTCGACACGTGGCTGTGGTGCAAGTTTCTGTACCGCGTCGGCCTCACCTGCTACGTCCTGCGCGTCATGTGGCGAGCGTACTACCGGCACTGCTTGCATTTAGCACGGACGCTAGCGACGCACGGCCTACAGCGACGCCCGACACGCGGCACGTCGTTTGAGGTTGTCATCGGGGACCCCACGGCACTCATTTTGCTCGACCCGATCGTCTCGACGGCGTTCACCTTGGACATTTGGTTCAGTATGGAGTACATGGGCATCGCCATGGTGCGCGCGACGCAATTCGTGGATCTCTACACGCTTTTTCTCGCGTTCATGTACTTTTCCCGGACGGTACGGCAACGATTTCCATCGCGGCATGGACGCCATGGTGGGTTTTGAATGTAGGTATGGTTCGCCTATCTCGCGCTCGCCCTCACGTCGCGCAGCCTCAAACGCTATCACAAAGAGCACTGGTTCGTCGAAGTCGACCCGACGATCGTTGCGGTCTGCGTCGCCGTGTACGCCATTCCAGTCGACTACCTCCAAGCCAACACAGTGATCGTCTATGTGTACTACTACCTCTTCCGCCTCCCATCGTCGGCCGACATGCAAGACCACCAAGTCGATGTGCTTTTTGGCTGCGTGCTGCTCACACTCCTCATTGCGGCGATCCCGATTCTCTTTGGCTTTGCACGCACCCACTGTCGCCGCGCGACACCGTCGGTCCCGTACGCGAGTCTCGACTACAACAGTGTTAAGAACCGACTTTTGTACAAGCTCATGCGATCGATCACGCTGCGCCGGGGCCTCGTCGACGAGTCGGGCGGGTCTCTTTATGCCGCGTTCGCGCGCGACGCTCGGTACAAGATGCACCCGACGACCAGTCTTCGCAGCGTCGACTGCTTTGTGCTGACCAAAAGGCGAGGTCGAACGACGCATCTCAAGCGTCTGAGCTTGCTCTCGAGCCTCGATCGAATGGCGTCCGATCCGAACGTGGCGATTTCTGTGGCAACGTCGGCGACGGCCGACCGCACGTTTGCCGAGCTTGTGGCGCACGACAGCAGCTTCCAGCTGGCGCTCGGAGCCGTACCGTCGCCGTGGTGCTCGTAGTTGCTGAGCACTTTGTACGACTGCTTCCAGTGTTCTGAGTCGGTTTTCCGCCATCGTGGCTCCTGTCCACGCCAAAGCAAACACGAGCGCGTCTCGCTTTCGCGACTAAGCATCAATCTATAGCTATTAACCGCTTTGCACGTTGCCACGTCATCCATGTCCATTTCTAGATGCCGTCGTCGGAATTTAAATGCCAGAACTGACGTCAATCGTGTCCGCGGCCGCCCCCTCGACCCGGCTCTTTCCCAAGCGGCAGCTGGTCATAACGTGGCACATGATGGCGGTCGTCATGAGCGCTCGCTCGGTCACCAACGTGGTTTCCATGGTGCGCCTTTCGATGCATACGCACCGTGAAGGATCGTAGTAGGTGTAGCCAGTCTCGACTACAACAGCGTCAACAATCGACTGCCTGTCTTATGCGTGCGGTCGCCGCGACGCCGTCGACGAGGCGGGTGGGTCGATCTATGCTGCGTTTGTCCACGACGCTCGATACACGATGCACCCGACCATTAGTGTGCGCAGCGGCGACTGCTTTGTGCGGGCAATGGTCAATGATCGCCGCCCCATATGCATGCTGCGCCTTAGCTTGATGACCAGCCTCGACTCATGGGTACACTATTATGTACCTCAGCCTCGACTGCCACACTTTTGACGCAACGCGCACGATCCGATTCATTCAAGTCCTGTCACCAGGCCACTCGTTTCCACGGCGGCAAACACAGGACCGGCACTTTTGCATTGAACGCGGCGCATTCCACTCGCATGGGGTCTCTTAAACCGCCATTTAAAACGTGTTTAACGCTGCCCAGTGCTCGTTTCGTCGCGTGCTGCGGCCCATTGCGGTACGAGGCGTCATTGACGGTGCGTGTGAACATGCCTTTGACGCGTTCGAGACGTCGATGGCAGGGTAAACTTGGCTTCCGTTGTCTCCAGTAGCCCCAATGAACGCTACCCTACCCCTATTTCATACGTATACCTTTTGTTCTACGCATCGTCTTGTACGATCGACGACGTTTGGTGTCCCTTCCGGTGAGAGACTCGACACTACCGCCGTTTGATCCACGTGCGTGCTGCTGTCGGTGTTCGTTTTCTGTGTGTTTAAACAAAGGGTTTCTATCGGCGCTCGTAAAAGAGCATGTAGGCTTTGGCGCGGGCCACTTCGGTCGTCGGCACCTCAAGGACGCGGTCGTCCGAGACGTGAACCCACCGACCGGGCGCCAGCCGACGATAGCACGTGTAGTGGCCGCCCCGTTCGTTCCCGTGGTGCACAATGACCGCGATCGCATCGTAGATAAGTTGATCCTACATTCACAAAATCGTATCAACTTGATAGAAGCCTCCATTTGAAAACATGTACGTAGGTGTGCTCTTTGGTGTCGTCGTCGAGAAGCAAATCTTGCGCCAATAATGTCGACTCAAAACGGAGGTACGAGTCGAGCTTGACCATGGCGTCTTGCAGAAACACGTTGCGGTTGATGTGGAAGGCGAGCACGTCTGGGCACCGCATGAGCCGGACGTGGCGCAGAAAAGGCGCGTACGTTCGTCGGCATGCGCGAGGGTCCTCAATGCCGTTCTTGTCGAGCCAGAGACCTTCGTTTTCCGTCCAGCCCGAGCCGTCCATGTCGAGGTCGCACACGCCATTGGTCGACGCAAGGCGCGTCCCGAGGATATCTATGGCATTATTGCTGCTGCCGCTTTGTATCAGTCTATCAAGGAACGTACCGAGAAGGTTCTGTCGCCACTCGAGCACGTCTGCGCGGAGGAGACTGCGGGCGTCGCCGCCTTCCCAGAGCGAGGGCACATCGACAAACTCCATGGGATCGCCGGTCGCGAGTGCGTCCCGCTGTTCCTCCACGACAGATAGGAGCGCACGCAGCGTGCAATTGGTGCACTCGACGCCGTCGATGCGTTCCATGCTCGTGTGGTGGCGCCACGACTCGCGGAGGTGGTTGAAGACATGGCGGCCGTCCATGCTCGCACACAGCGAAAGCTTCAGGTCGAGGAACCGATCTGTCCACATGGGCTTGCGCATGTGGCAGCGCGTGCACTCCTACATACTGCCGCATCGCAATCAATGAAAAAGGGGGTTGGTGAGGTACGAGGAGTGTGCCGCTCAGGCCGTAGAACGGGTTGCGGCTCTCGGCTGGCGCACGTCCGATGAGGTCGAAAAGCGAGCCTTTGGGCTGTGTCTTCTTGTACTCGTCTTCGCAGAGCTCCATGATGAGCTGGAACCACTCCTCTGCGTCCTGTGGCAGCAGTTAGAAGGAGGCGGGTGATCCAAGGGCGGACCTGTTGTCGGTTGCCGCGGAAGCCCTGGATGCTCTTGCCGAGCTGCGCGTTCAAAAGATGAGGCTCGACGGCGCCGCCGATGCTGGACCGTGGGCGTGGCGAGAGCTCTATGCCGTACCGTGACCACCTTTTGCTGCGAGATGCGATGGGCTACCGTGGAGGTAGTGCTGGAGCACGGACGTGAAGGCGAGGCAGCGGTCGTCGCCGGTCGTCGCCGCCTCGTCGTCGTCGCCGGGCATGGGGCAGATCTCATCGAGGTGGGCGACGAAGCGCTTGGAGGATGCGAGCGCCTGCAGCACTGCGTTGAAGTAGCACGTGTTGCCGAGGTTGCGCAGCCCCGCGACGCTGAGGTCGTCCGCCGCCATGATCGCCAAGTCGGGCTGCATCCGGATACTGTGCCACTTTGGTATACGGATGACGCGTGCATCAACGTATCAAGCACGACGAGAGAGCTGGATGCAGACCATTGCGCAGTGGGTCTAGGCGTCCTCGACCACTGGCAGTGTTGTCCATGACGCGTCTCAGTCGACGACGACCATCCACGGATCGCGCCAACGACACGCATAGCTGCCAGGTTCGCTGGTGCGCCCGAGTCGTTCGGTTCAAAGCTCAAACGGAAGAAAGGATCCTGTCGAATGGCTCGGATCGTCGCCCTCGCCACAACCTGTGCTGCCTTTCTGCCTCGGATCAGCGTGTCGCGACGACTCTTCTCCAACGTTGTTGAATGAGTCCAACGGTGTCTCGAGTCTAGACGCCGCTGGGAGGATCCAGAATTGAAGTATCTCGAACCAGATTGCACTTGCACTTGGCGCGTGGACTTGAACGTTGGCATGCGCGCCATACGGTGGGCCTAACGTTAGTCCAGCATCTTCTTCCGCCCCTTCGCTTCTTCTGCAAGCTGGTCAACATGTCGCCCTTGGCCACGCGAACGTTTCGATCTCAATGGGATGCGAAGTGTCGACCTCAACGGACCGCCATATCACGGCCAAGCCCATGCTCCTAGCAAAACCAGCGAGCGATATTCAATGAGCGATCCGCGATTCCCGACAACGCGCACGTTAGCACACCAGGTCCGAGCCTGTCTCGCGAAGGTAACCAAGCCAGTGCGCCAGCTGGCAGCGTATCCGGATGTGTCCGGACGGGCACCAGAAACGAGGTCGCTGCAGACTGCGGCCGACCGACCGACGCGATGGCCCCGAACTTGACATCCGACGACTACTACGAGAACCTCGGCGTCGCCCGGAGCGCGACCGAGGCCGAGATCAAGGCTGCGTACGAAGCGACTGCGTCCACGCCATCGGCTCACGCAGAGCGGACTAGGTACCGGAAGCTCGCGATCAAGTACCATCCCGACAAGAACCTCTTGCACCGCGACGACGCGGAGCGCAAGTTCAAGATCGTCGGCGAGGCCTACAACATCCTGTCCGACCCGTCGACGCGCCACACATGTAGTGTCCTCTCGCCTCGACCGCGTCGATAAGCAGACGCTTCGTAGACGACGACCATGGCAAGGCCGGCCTCCAAGACGTTTCGCCGCCCATGACGCGCGAGATGCTCCTCGCTCTCTTTGAGGATTTTTTCCGCTTTGGGAAGCCCATGGACGACGACGCGCCCGACGGTACATCATGACGAAAGCTATGACGAGAGAAGGGCTCATGCTACGCTTAGTGGGGAAGGGCATTTTGCGGGCGACGGGTGGCATCGTCTATGCACCTGTCAAGGGCGTCATCTACGGCGGGCGCAGCGTCCTTGGCGGCGTCGTCATGGGTACGGTCGCGGTCGTTGTCGGCCTCTCGGGCATGGCCGCCAGCTTTGGCATGGGCGTCCTCGAGATGAGCCAGGCAGGCGTGAACGCAGCCAAGACCAACAAGCGCCGCCGGCTCGAGCGCCGCGCGAGCTCGGTCGCATCTATCGGCAGCAGTCGCCACGATGCGTCCGTGGCCTCGGAGCTGCCAGCGTCCTCGTCGTCTGAGGGGCCCGAAGACCACGTGCCGACGTTCCTCGGCGGGCTCAAGAAGGCGACTGTCGGCGCCATTTCGATTCCCATGGCGGTACGTCTTTTGTTTCTGTGACGCAAAGCGCATGGTAGATGGCTAGTCGCTCGTCACGTGTGGCACCATGATGGTCGGTGGCACGGCGCTCGCGAGCGGCTACATTGTCGGCGGGTTTGCTGGCGCAATTACCAACATCACATCGGGCTTTAAAGAAGTCCAGCTGGCGAACCGGAAGAAGCTCCTCCTTCGCCGCGCGAGCATGCCAACCGCGCTGCCGTCGCAGCAACCGCCCACCAGCAAGAAGCGGCGAAGGGCGACGATGAAGGAAACCCGGCGGCACTCTGTCGACACGGCAGCCGCGGTCGTCTAAGAACTAATATACGGCTGCTGCTGCGTGTCAACAATCCCATGGTGCGTGTCGTCGTTGTCCTCCAGTGTCGATGCTGGCGCTGCCTGATGCCGCTGCTTTGGTGGTAGCATATGGTACAAGCATCCACAGTACAAAGGGTCTACTAGCATGAGACTCGTACTCTACTGCGACCACTCGACACCGGTGCCGCCAAGCGCCGTCTCGAGGCACGTGTACCCGAGCTTTTCGAGGTCGGCGACGAGGGCGGCCAAGCTCTCGCTCGGGCAGTCGTTGGGAATGAGCGTGATCGTGCAGCCGCCACCGCCTACGCTCGAGTGGTTACCCTCGCACAACTTAGGAACGTCTTTGTACCCGCGCCCGTGAGCTTGGTCGTGAGGCCGCGCGCTGCGGACGCTGCGCAGATGGCGCGGATGCTAGCGTGGCTCACTTGCAGCGTCTCGAGGGCCTCCTGGTTGGCTGCCATCATGGGCGCCAGGACCGACGCCGTCAGCGTCTTGGCCGCGACCTGCGTACATACTCTGACATATACTGCGAGGATGGATTTGTTTGTGTACGTGTGCTTGGAAGGACGACGCAAGCGCCTCAATCCCGTCAAATTGGCGCTGGATCGCGACGGGATCGGCGTCGTAGAGCACACGGACTCCGCCGACGAGCACCTTGGTCTCGCGCGGGACGTGCGTGTTGGTCAGCAGGATGCGAAGTGATGGGAGCGCCAGCTTGGTCATGGCGACCGATGGCCCCTTCTTGAAGACGATCGCGCCACCGTAAGTGGCAACGCTGTTGTCGACGCCGGACGGGTTGTCGTGGAGGAGTACTTCGGCCGCGAACGCATACTTGTTGACATCGTCGAGGGCCACCGTCGTCGTTGTCGCCGTCGCTCTGCACACATTAGCATTCCATGGTGCATGGAGTCAAGGCAGTACTTGAGAAGCGCGGCTGCGACGGCCGTGCAAAAGGCCGCGGACGAGCCGAGACCGGCGCCGACGGGAAACGCGCCACTCACGACATCAATGTCGACGCCCGACCTAGGACGACGCTATGAGAACGCGAAGGAGAGGAGGAGGTGCATACGTGGTCGACGACAGAAGCGTGGGCACGATCGCAGCGAGGAGGAAGAGCGCGGGCCGAAGCGCGTTAACGTCCTTGGGGTGCTCGTCGACAAGCGCCGACTGGAGCGCAGCAACGATGGCCGCGGACGGCCGCGGCAGGAACGCCGTGTCGCCATCAGTCGTAGCACCGCGGAAGGCCGACGCCAGCGCATGGAGCGGCCACGACCGGATGAGCGGCTTGCCGTCCTTCATGCTCGTGAGGTTGTTCAAGGCGACCCGGACCGACGGCGTCGACGTCGCGCTCTACAGAGGAGAAGGTGGGAACAGCATGCTGCATCTCGACGTACGACGCGCGCCGAGACGCGGAGGCTGGAGACGGAGGCAGCGATGGCCGTCGTGCCATAGACGACTGCATGCTCGCCGAAGAGGATGACCTTGCCCGGGGCGCTCGCTTCCGTCGTCGTGAGGTGGACCATGCTACTCGTCGTCGTCGTCGTCAGTCGTTGAAGTGGCTGCAATAGGACCGTCCGTGACACACGGCTCTTTTAATTTCGGCATGTCGTATTATTTATGGCATATGCCGATATGAAGATGCGGGGTAGGGTCTTTGGGTCACAGGATTTGGCCGCCGAAATCTGGCATCTGAAAACTGAAGTCTGGATCAACCCAAGACACCAAACGTGCATGATCTGGAGCGCAGCACGTCGCGTGCCTCAGGCTGCTCTGGAGCGCAGCACGTCGCATGCCTCGGGCTACTTGTACCGTTCGACTAGATCACGCACGTCAATGACCGCATGCGACTAGGCTGCGTTTCTACGACGCTCGCAGCTGCCTGGAAAGATGAAAAGAGAGTTGATCGCAGTGGTACAGCACCTAGATTTGTGTACTCGAGAAGCGTCTGCTTGATCTTAAATAACCATGTTACGGCTCCTTGGCCGTGAGGTGTTCTTCCATCTTCTGGATCTTTCCGATGAGCGATGAAATCTGCTGGTGGTGCGTGTCCATGGCGGTCGAGAGTGCGCGCTGCTGGCGCGCTGTCACCTCGAGCTCCTCCAACTTTGAGAGGAGGTCGGGCAGCAAAAGTGGCTCGTCCGTCTTTCTTGTCGCTTGGCTGGTTGAAGACGCGCTCCGTTTGACGGGCTCCGCAAGCATCGGTATGTCCTCCTCGTCCTCTTCTTCGTGCGGCTGATCGAGGACGCGCGCGAGTTGGGCGGCGACTTGCATTCGAAGACGGCGGCGGCGTCGACTTCGGACGTGCTGAGGCGTCGTGGCGGCTTGTGGGCTGGCGACTTGGGTGTCTCGGGCCGCAGGAGCTTCGGCGCCTCGAGGCGCTTCAAGAGCACCTTGGTGACTGCCTGGAGCTGCTCGACGAGACCTGAGACGTTGCCGTGGCGCGCGCTGCGATCGTAGAGCTCGACGAGGCCCACGACCTTGCCAGCACTCAGCTGGAGACGCATCGCCGCGTAGAACCGGTACGGCGGCGACGCGGTCGGGAGCAAGTCGGGGCAAATGTACAGCTGCGCCGAGTCGAGAGCCGCCGATGACAAGCCGTCGTCGATCGCGTGGTGTGTCGAGAGGCCTGATGCGCCGATGCGTCGCAGGACTCCGGCATCCAAGACGCGGATGGTCGCGACGGCGCACTGCGTGGTAATGGCGAGCGTCGAGCACATGGTGTCGTACTCGGGGCTTGGATCGAGCGAGACAAAGGCCTCGAGTCGGCTCTCGGCGGGTGGCCGCGACAGGCTATCGGTCAAGAACGAGAGCGAGATGGTCGTGTCGACGTCGTGCATGAGCGACGACCGGCAGGCGGTGCTACTCCACTCGAGCACCGAGTCGCGCGCGTTGGGAAACACAAACGAGCCTTCTTTGCGCGTCTCGAGGAGCGGTGTCTCCGAGTGGAGTCGCTGCAGCGTCACCTTGTTGGACTGCGAGCGCGCGGCGACGACGGGCGTGTGGGCCAGCGGCGTGTAGCCGAGGCCGTTGAGGCAGCACACGCACACGCGGATCTTCTCGAGCTTCTCGAGGATCGGTGCTGTCATCCACTTGACGCTGCAGTCGTGGCACACGACTTTGCCGCAGAGGCGGCAGTGCTTTTTCTGCACAAAAAGCGAGAATTTCGTGTCGCAGATCGAGCAAAAGGTCACGTTGCGCTTCGGCTCGAGCTCGGCGTGGACGGTGCCGCCGTCGAGAAGGTACTGCTCGAGGCGCATGGGAAAAAAGTACTCTTCGAGGCTCAGCACCTGCACATTTCAATCTATGAGTTCGTCGGCCGACAATCTGTCGCACGTACGCGGCTGACGTAGTGCTGCATGAGCTTTTGGTTCTTGGACTTGGACACGTTGGCGATTTGGGAGATGGCGAGGCAGTAGTAGTCCATCGTGCCGACGTTCTCGGTCTCGATAAACACGTGTCCGGACTAGACACCGCATGAGAATAATGTGGACACTATTGTCTTCTTCTTCGTCGTACGCGAAAAATGAGATCCCGCGGGAGCTGCGGCGCGTTGGAACCGCGGGGATCAACGAGGCCTCGCGGGTCCACCGAGTGGAGGCTGCAGACCCAGCCTTTCCGCATCGAGCCGTCGTGTTCGTTGAGGTACTCGAACTCGTCGTGGCACTACCACACAACATGAGCGGCCGATCCCTCGTGCGTGGCTGCTATCGATTTGACGTACTTCGAGAAGACACATGCTGTGCACGTCGGTGCCCCGGTCCACGAGCATCCACTCGATGCCAATGTAGTGCAGCGGGTGCTCGGGTGTCCGGGGCACGAGCGTTGCGATCGTCTCGCGGCAGAGCGCGGCTTGCTCGTACACACCAGCGTACGCAGCAAGCTTCTCGGGTGATGTGAGCGCGAAGAAGTGGGCGACCTCGGCGAGCGTGATCTGGATTTGTGTGTAACCGCAGGTCGCGTCAAAGTGCGGCTCGAAAAGGTCTTGGTTCTTGCGGATCTAGCGCAGAGGTGATGATGCGACCAATGCATGCAGTCGAAGCGGCGGACCTTGGCGCAGCGCAGCGTCTTGGCGCTCGAGATGACGCGGTCGACCGGGAGGTTGTCCATCGCGAGCGCGTTCATGATGGTCTTGTGGCACGTGCGCTTGGCCTTCTCAATGTAATCGTACGACTCGTCCGGCGAGAGCGAGAGGCGCGGCTGGCGCATGGCTGGCGGCAGCGGCGGCTTGCCCCACTGAGTATGCGACGACGTCTTGCTCGTCGTTGACGCCGACCCGGCCGAGCTCGTGTTACTGGACGGCATCTGCGGCAGAGGAAATAAGTGACTGGGTGCCTTCAAGCTTTCGCACTCAACCATATGGTTGGACCTGTACGGAGGAGGATGATCGATCGACTTTGCTTTTTGGTGCAGCGGCTGGCGTACAGTGTATATACACTGTAAATCCAGTACACTGGCACCACGTATACGACAATATCGGGTGGCCACGGCAACGATCGTCTTGTCTTTGCAACGCCCAGTGCGTCCAAGAGGTCGTCCTCTCGATAATAGTATCGTCGCTCATGTCCTGCCAGCAAAACCGACGAGGGCGGTTTGAGGCTCTACAAAGTGCCGGATTGACCACTCTAAAGCAGCCTTTCCTGGCGCAAAGTGTATCTCTGACACGTGCACAATGTTGACACTGCAACGCGTCGCCGGCCAGAAAAGGGCGCGCGTTATGTTACCTACGTTGGAACTGCTCGTAAGCGTACACAAGGGCCACTCCTCGCAGTACCGTCCTGCGAGATCCCGTCACCGAGTGCTTGGTACGAAACGAGTCGACGGGGTAGAAATCGGGAAAGCTAAACTGGAAGCGCCGTACGATTGTAGTACATGGTGTTTGAGAGCGCTTATGCGTGATTTCTGGTCAGGACTCTTTTGACTGAACACTTCCAGTGAGGGCAACATGACGAGATCGGCAACATCAAACTCTGCAGTGACGCCAGCATTAACAGCGCAGCGAAAACTGCTGACGTCACGACAGGAAAAGTTCTGCAAACTGTGGCCATCGTAGGGGCACTGGTCCGTGCGACGTAACGTTGAAGGCAGGGTCCTTCTCCGAGTACACCCATCCACGCTACCAACATGTTCATGCTCGCACCATCTCTGCTCGCATTTGCCTCCTTCTTCGGTAGTTCAACCAGCGAGGCGCATCCACTTGCAGTTTGCGATCGACTGAATGTTAAATTAACGAGGTCTGACACGGGGAGACGGGCTCGGGTAGCATCGCATCGCGCGAGAAGAGGGTGTCCATGTCAAAGCACTTTTGAAGCTCAATGCGGTGGTGGCACTCTTGGATCTCGAGGGTGCACTTGAGCGCTGTCTCTTTTGCGAGCATGGCGGCCACGCGCTGGTCGGCGAGCTCGTGGCGCTCGTTCTCTCGCCGGATGCGCTCGGCGTGTGCGGCTTCGAGTCGCGCTTGGTGCTCGCGCTACTGAAAGTGTCGACACGACCAGAACGTACGAAGGGTACCTCACGGACGGCACGTTGCCGGCGCAAGTGTTCTTCGTGCGAGAGCACCTTATGCTTTGCGTGGACTTTTTCTTGGAGCACCGCCGCTTCTTTTCGCGTGCGCTCGGCCTCAATGGCCTACAGGACGCATACATCGTGCAGTCCAGCTATGTGACAACATCAAGTCCTACGTGACGCTTTTGTTTGACGCTACGGGCACTCTGGATTCGCTGGGCTTGGACCCGAGCCGCGTTGTGCTAATACGTCGGGTGGGTTTGTGGAGGCAGAGAGATGATCGATGGGGCTGTATACCTGGAGTCGCATCTTGTGCTCGGCTTGAAGCGCAAGTGTCTTCTCGCGCCGGGCGCGAATGGCACGTTCGTCCTTCTCCCGCCGGGCTTGGCGCAAGCGTCGGTGGTGCTCGGCCTCTTCCTTGGCCTGCACCTCTCTGCAGTGCTCGACATAGAGCTTGCTCGCGTCCATCTCGGCCCGCTCTCGCTCCATCTACTAGCGTCGTCATACAATGCGAGATGGAGAACGAAGTACAGACCTCGAGAAACGCGACTCGGTTCGCAAGCAACCTCGCGTTCTCTTCGGCGTGCAGACGAGCTTGTCGGACGTGAAAACACTCGGTCGACGGCGAGGTTGGACGGGCCTTGGGACGTCGCGGTGTCGGTGGCGATGACACCGATGGCTGTGCTAGCACGGGCGGCTCGGACTCGGTCCTCGTTGCCGGCGGCGTCTCGTCTTGAGGACGTCGTGGCTCAAATAGCGGTTGTGCGGCGTCCATAGGCACTGGTAGACTCGTTGGCGGCATCGTTTCAAGCGGCTTGTCGATGAGGCAGTAGCGCGAGATGATGGGCTTTGTGGTGCCCGACCAGCGCTGCGGCGCGTGGAGCGCGGCTTGGCGATTCCCGGGCCGAGGCGAGAGCAGCGCCACGAGCGTTCCTCGCTGCGAGACATTGGCCGACTTGGGTCGATCCACGACGCTGGCCCGTGTCGCGCGCATCGAAGTTGTCTGCGCAGAGACAGGAATTTCGCGAATTTAAAATCTATTTTTGTCGAGATGCCTTTTTCTTATGACGTGGCGCACCTGCAATGCACGATGTGTTTTGGCCAATCGCGTGGCCGTATCGCGATGGCGCGTTTTGATTGGCGAAAATTCGCGTGACGACTGCCCCATCTGCCACACCAAGTGACGACGCTCGCCATGGCCGACCCCAGGATCGCTCTCCAGCCGCTCGCGCACCCGATGTATCAGCCGCGGACGCCGGAGATGACGCCGGTGGCGGCGCCGTCGCCATCGACCAAAGCCCTCCTCTTCCGCCTCTGCCTCTATGGCTTTTTCGTCGAGCTCAAGCCGTCCGAGGCGTACCTCAACCAGTTTCTGACCCAGGACAAGGGTACCGCCGCCGCCGCATCCATGGCCAGACACATATGTTGGCTGTAGGCTTCACCAACGAGCAGACCAACGACGATATCTACCCGTGGTTTTCGTACGGCAAGCTGGCCATGCTCCTGGTCCTGCCGCTCGTCGTCGAGCGCTTCCAGTACCGGACCGTGCTCATCATCGAGTCGTGCGGCTTTCTCTGCACGCGGCTGCTCCTGATATACGGCACGTCGCTCTTCCTCATGCAAGGTACTTCGATGCCATCCTCATGGACGAGATAAGAACGCTAAGATGATTGTCTGTCTAGTCATGCAGGTGACGTACGCCGTCGGCACCGCGACCAAAATTGTCTACTTGACCATCATCTACCGCCAAGTCCCTCGCGACGAGTACCACCACGCGACCGCGCTCGTCTGGACGGCGCAGCTCGCCGGCAAGTTTGCCGCGGGCCTCCTCGGCCAGGTGCCCGTCCTCTCTGCAACGGCGTGCGGACGATGACGTCGACGCGTAGGTCTTGGTGACGCAACACGTGAGCCTCCTGTCGCTCAACTATGTGTCGTTTGCGAGTGTCGCGATCTCGCTCGCCCTCGCCTTGAGCCTTCCGCATGACAAGGCGGACGTGGCGATCGTCGCCGCGTCGACGACGATCGAGAAGCGGCCGTTCGCGCGCCGGGAGACGGCCGATAGCAACCTCAGCGTCGAGAGCAGCGTCCAAATCCGACCGCACATGCACCGCAAGTCGGCCTCGAGCCCGCCGCCGAGCGTCTGGCACTGGACCAATATCCTCGGGCTCACCTGGATCGTTCTCACGTGCGGCTCCAATCTGTTCCAAAACTACATTCAAAACCGGTGGACCGACTTTACACGTAGACGCCCTTCTTCCATGCGCGGTTTGTTATGCTCAATGCTAGTGTCAACCACGGAGAATGGCATGATGACGGCGCTCTTCACACTGGCGGGCGCAAGCGCCACGATCCTCATGGCGCGTCTCTCCAAGACGCTGCCGCGGTCCCCCACGGTCCATTATTCTTGTCGCACATTGTCGTCCTCATACTAATATTATTGTATCGGTGATTAGGGTCTGCGCATGCTCTTGCTCCTTGGGTCCGTTGGGCTCGTCGTCGCGTCGCTTCGGCAGACGTTGGTCGAGAGTCTATGGCGTTCGTACCTCTGGTACATTGCCTACGGCGCCATCTTTTACGCGCTCATTACGACGGTAGTACAGTTTGTGGTGTCGCAGCGTCCATGACGTGACGCCGGGTAGGTGAGCGCCGAGCTCGCGCTGCAGTGCACGACCAATGACTTTGCCAAGATGTTTGCGATCGTGTCGCTCTGCGCGTCCGTCCTCGAGACTGTACTCGTCCACCTCGTCTATCATTGTTGAAGCGTCCTCTTTTTCTAGATGCTCACGTTCGTGCTGCAAGGCACGACCAACGGCGTGAGCACGTGGTTCGGCACCGTGACCGTCCTCCACGGCCTCCTCCTCGCCTTTGATTTGTACGTGTGCTGCCGTGTCCCGCTCGAGCCCCTCCGCGCCGAGCCGACGGCGTAATCGCAACCACAAATCGATCGCAGGTGTCTTGAAGACGAAGATGGATTGTTGTTCGTGTATGGACGCGAGGAGCTACAAGAGCCCGTACTCTTGTCGGCACCGCTTGATGACGCCAATGAGAAAGCCGGACCGGTTCCGGACACTGTCGAGGTTGGACGTCGTGTAGCGGTTGAGCACTTCGAGCGCGAGCGGCTCCGAGAGCTGGCCGAGGATCTCGTAGCACTTTTCCGCGAGCTCGTCGATCGACGCGAGGACGCCGGCAGCGACCATGTGCGAGAGCTCTGTTTGCACCGAGAGCGGCATCGTGCGAATGTGTTGGTCAAACGCTGGGAGATGCGCCCACGGCATGGGCGCGCCGAGGTGGGCGCCCGTGGGTGGTTGAAAGGCCGACGGCGGACGCGAAAAATCACCTGCCGGAAACCCGCGCGGGTCGAGACGACCTTGGGGCGGCCCCGTGGCTATAGACGAATGATGTGAGACGATCACTATGAACGTGCGTAGAACGTACTGCGCTCCCGCTCCATGACACGCGTGATGATGCCAACAAAGAAGCCGTTGATGTTGTCGACGTGCGCCGTGTCCGTCGAGCGAAAGTTCTCGACCGCGCGCAGCGCGAGGTGGTCCGGCAGCTTCATGAGCCGGAGGAGCACCGTGTCGTTGACCACGTCCTTCATGCGCGACGTCGCGTACACGTCTTCCATGGCCGGCGACAGGCGAGGGTACATGTCCGACTGTCGAAAGAGGGATACGAGCGACGGCGGCGGGGCCGTTGATGGGATGTGCTGCTGCTCGGCACGGTCCGCGCCGCCGACGCAAAGAGCTTGGACTTGCCCGTCGTCGTCGATACCTTGGCGTCGCCTGGTGTCGATGTCTTCTCCGCACGGATCTGGTCCAGTAGCGGAAACGACCGCACCGGCGTCTCGGAGAGCATGCCTTGCGGCGGCTGCGGCGGCGCATAGCCAAACTCAAAGAGGCTTTCGTCGGTACCGGTCGACGGGTCCACCTACACGACGACGTTGGCTGCATATGCCGGCGTAGAATCTCGAGCTGTACCTCGGAGACGGGGCGGAGCGATGCGACGAGCGGGTTCTCTTGGTGGTACGTCAGTATCAGCTGCGTCAGATGCGAGTCCTTGGATCGAATCTACACGACTTTGATGAATGGTCCTGGCGACTCGAGATGCACACGTACGGTCGAGAGGGAGCTCTTGACGAAGCGTGAGACCACTGTGAGCTGTGCAAATGCTGGGAGCTTCCCGAGCGCGTCGAGCGCACTCGACGCCCGGAGATCGCGCAGTGTGAAATCGGATGCGCCGTCGGCTTGGCAGTCGAGGAGGCGGGCCCAGACGGCGTCGGCCAAGATCGGCGCTGGCTTGGGCTCCTTCTTCGATGGTTTCTTGGCCTTGACGTCAGCGATGATGTCGCGCAGAGCCGTATACGTGTCGGGCGGTACGGCCGAGGCTGCGACGACAGCTTGGAAGCGCTTGATGACCTCGGCGGCGTGCAATGTCGTGAGCGCGTTCATGGCCAACAGCGTGCGCTCGTCAAAGACCACGCTCGGCTCCGTGAGTCGAATCTCGGCCAGGACGGCCTCGACGCTCTCGTGCACGCACGGCGGCAACGGAAAGGCGCGGATCGGCGCCTTGTTGGTGCTCTCGTCGGCGGGCAGTTCGTAGTCATCCGGATCGTACGGCTCCATCTCGGCCGGGTCGGCGTCGTCGGCAAAGAGCGGCAGCATGTCCGATACGCCGTCCGCCGTCGTACTCGCGGGTGCGTCGTCGCCCTCCATCGAGACGTCGACGACGTCGGCGGCGGACACGGAGTCCACGGAGTCCATCGGCTCGTCGACCTGTGCGTCGACTTGCACGGGCTCTTCGTGGACCTGTACAGCCTCGAGCGCTTCGTCGGCCTCGACAGCTTCGGACGCTTTGTCCGCCTGTTCAACCTCGGACGCTGCGTGGACCTGCAAAGCCCCGGGCGAGGCGTGGACCTCGTCGGGCGCTGCGTGGACCTGCACGGCCTCGGCCTCGGGCGCTTCATGGGGTTGCACGGCCTCAGCCTCTTCGTTCATCGACTCATCCTCGGGTGCGTCGTGGACCTGCACGACATCGGGAGTGCTGTGCAACTGCTCGGGCTCGGGCGCGTCGTCCATCTGCGCCGTCTCGGCCGCGTCGTCCATCTGGTTGGGCTCGGACGCGCTCTGCGTCTCCATGACCTCGGGCTCGTCGTCGTCGGGGATCGAGATCGGGCTCTCCGCAGGCAGGGCGTCTGTGCTCTGTGTGTAGTATTCGGGATCGTATTGCATGTCCTCGTCCTCTTCTGCGACGTGCTCGTGTGCTTCCGAGACGGTGCTGCAGCTGGCGTCGTCGGGCTCGACGGCGTCCAAGACCATCGCCGGCGCTTCTTCGTCGACTACGCCCATGCCATGATCGTGCTCCTGCGGCGCGACCTCGCTCTCTTCGTCGCCGAGACGAGCCTTCTTGGCGACATGGAGGACCGGCTTCTCGTCGTCAAAGTCGTCGTCGTCATCCTCCTCCAGCTCGTCGCCATCCACCAAGGTCTCTTCCAGCGGACGCTTCTCCGAGACATGGCCTATCGGCAGGAAGCCAGAGTCGGCGGCCGCGCCTGTGGACCCCTCCATCGTCGTGTCCATTTGCACCAAGCAGTGGGGTCGAGATTAAGTGCGACGGATTCAGCGTACTTAGCGGTTTTCGAACGTCCCCGCAAATACGACGCACTTTAGACACGCTCGATGTGGCGTACTTTATCGAGTGCTCCCTCTATCGTGGCACTGTGTACAGTCGTGTCCTTTGGTAATATCCCCCCACAAATCTCAGACACCTCACCAGGTTTACGACTGTAGGTGGCCGTCGCCACTAGAGTACCCTTGGTCGCCAACACCACGTGTCCTTGATGAAATACCGAAAATCAAACAGTGTAAGCTTTGGCTCGCGCGGGCGGAAATGATTATTGAGAAGAGTGGGTCAATTTGCCGTCGAGAGTGATGGCCGTCCGGGGAGGGCTCACGTGAAGACGTGAGGCCATTTTGCTCGAAAGTGATCATTTTGACTGCTTTCTTCTGCATTCCGCTCACGAAACGAGGCCTATATTTTGTGAATTACGGTACACCACTTGTGTTTGTACGCACAACATCGATATGGACGAGAGTCAAACAAGAATGACTTCGCCACCGCTCTCGTCGTCGCTCGATGGAACGAGCGCTTGGTCGACGATTGCGCGCGCTTGAGCCGCTTGCTGGCGACTGGTGCGCTGGGCCTTGGCCTTCATGATCAAGACGACAACGATCGCAAGTGCAAGACAACAAGCACACGCTACGGAAATGACGAGGATCATCGTTGCATGGGTGGCCGTTGGTGGCGTCGGCGCAGCGGTCTTGTCGATCGGGCGAGAGGCAAATTTGTCAACGACACGGGGAGCCTCGCCACCGACCGGGAACACGCAAGCGTAGTAGCTAACCGAGCTGCTGTCCATGACGGAAGCAATGATGCTGCACGTGGTGTTGGACGACATGATGCAACCGACGCTGGGCACGTAGCTCGGTAGAAAGGGAGTGCAGTCTGCGATGGCTACGTCGCCGGTGCGCGGACAGCCAGTGCCGTGGACGCCGCAGACATCGCCTTGCACGGCATACGTGGCATCCCCAAGGACGTGCACGGGTGTCGTCAATGTGTTTTCAAGACGACTCATGGTCGAGTTGATGATGCTAGGGCGAACTGGTCCTTTAGTCGAGTGGTTGGAGGCGGCTTCGAGTCCCACTAGAGCGACGGCAATGAGCAGTCTACGCAGCTGCATCGTGTGCTTTTGCTCAAGAAAATGAGTTCTTCTCCTGACGCGACCATCATCGATCAAGTTGGTGGAACGGATTGCGTCAACCAAGCCATCGCCCGGCAGAGACATGCATCGTGAATTCGTTTGGTGCTGAGGCATCAATACGCTACCTACCGGTATGCTAAAGGATACAAACCAAGCAAGGACGACCACTCGTACTCTAGATTCAAAGGCGACAACCTTCTACGGAGCCTACCGCAATCGTTTCTTGCACAGCACGACAACGGACTAGTGTGCTGTTCGATGGAACTGTGCCGATGGAAACAGAAGATATCAATGACCAGCAGATCGCGACACTCGACCTGGTTATGTCGAGTACTGCAAATAAGCACGAGCGGTTATGTTGTGGGTGCAGATCTGTCAATGCTACCGGGTGAGTAGCCACCAAGGCCCATGATCATTTAGGATCTTAGCGCGAACAAGGGCCCTTGATAGAGGGGATTGATTGACGTCGGCCGACCAGCGTGGCAATGGCAGAGCTCAAGCAATCGATCAAACAAGAGAACGAGTCATTCACAGGTAGCTCCGAGCGACAAAGTTAATCTATTTGCCCTTGTAACGGACAGCGTTCGGATCGTGTTGCGATCTTCCGACGGTGTCGCCTAGGTCGGTCGTTGCGATTCCAGCCAATCCGCGCGTAGTCGTTTCCCTTGCCTGCCCTGTGATTGGCCTGCGCAAAAGATGCGACACCTCAAGCGATTTGATTGGCTCCCACCAAAGATTCCTAGTCCGAGCGATCTTCCTGCAAACGCGGTAGCATTTCATTTTCATTTCCCATTTTCGCTCGACCTCCGCAGCAGCACCATGTTCTCGAAGAAGTCGATCATCGTCTGCGTCTGCGCCGTCATCCTCGCCCTCCACGCCGACGCGGCGCCCGTCGGCGCCCACGCCCTGCGTCACAACCGCGCGGCCCATGCGCAGCCCAAGCACGCCATGCACGCCAACGTCAAGAAGGCAGCCAAGGTGACCAAGGCCGCCAAGAAGCGCGCCTTCCGCAAGAGCGCCAAGCAGGTGGCGAC